CCTTTTTTCAAATTTCGCAGATTTTTTAATAAGGTTTTAATATAATTTAACCAAGTTTTACTTTTACCATTTAGATGACTGTCTAAACTCTTGATTTCGTCCAACAACCTTAACCATGGAGGACGTGCAGTTCCCACCAGAGGTATACGCCTCCTACAGTGCCTTCTTGCTATATTACCTTATATCTTTTTTTATTCTTTACACTACACCTCTAGCTCATTAAAATTACTTTTTTGCTTTCTTGCCTAGTTTGAGACTTCGCAATCTCAGAAATACTAATTATTAATCTTACTTAGCTAAACTCTCTGGAATCTTATAAATACTAACTTATTATTTTATTTAGTATGAGTTTTTTAAATGCAAATAAGCTTACTATATGCGGAACGAAGTGGAGCAATAAGCAAATTGTGAATATAATAAGTGGGCAAATAATGTTTGCAGGATAGCAGAGCATATACATAAGATATGAGAGCAAATATTGTTTGCAGTCTGTGAAGCGAAGTGGAGCATGTACACAAGATATGAAAACAAATAATATTTGCGGGTAGCAGAGCAAAGCGGAGCATATTCACAAGATATGAGAGCAATTAGTGTCCGCAGTCTGCGGAGTGAAGCGAAGCATGTAACCAAACTATAAAGCAAATCATGAAAGCATGTATGTTCCTGATTAGCAAGACAACAATGTCTGGTCAATGTTGCAGAGCAAAGTGTGTAAAAAAATGTAACCTAATATATTCCTAGTATACGCCTACTTCCCTTGATCCGATCCTTTTTGGATTTCTTCTAGCCAGTTTGCTTATCACTCGATTAGCCAAATAGACCTATATATGCGCTATTAAGCATATTTAATGAATTGTCAAGTGAGAGGTAGGTGACCTTTTTCTTCGTAATCCTTAGAAAAAGATAAATATTACTCTGCTTTGACATATATGAAGACAGAAGGAGAATTAATTAATTGAATAAAAATTTTCTGAGGATATTATTACACTGCGAAAGATATTCTATATAAGATATCATCTCGTCAAGCTAGCCAAGCAAATATTCATAAAGAAGTTCGAGCCAAACTTGCAGAACTTAAAGGAGTAACATTGGATGCGATATCATATTCATGTTCCAATAATTTGCTTGCTAAGTATCAAGAGGAAATAGCACAATTTCAAGTGGTAGCTGAGGAAAAAAGAAATAGGACACATGATGTTTTGCAAAACAAATCTATAGATGAATTGGCCGACTGGTTAGCAGATCCAGTAAAGGGTTTTAAGCCAAAAGAATCTGAAAATATAGACCCATTACATTCGATGAATGGGCAGATAAGCAGGAGTGACTAGGAAAAGAAAATCCAGAATGGCATGAGGATGGATCGATTTGGTGGATTTCAAGACGAATTCCAAAATTAGCATCCAAAAAGGTAAAAAAAAAACATGGGTTTAGATACTGAAAACTTCTTAGAGAGGCATATAAACCACATATAATAAATAGTTATGCTAAGAAAATTCGGAATCTAATGGATGATAAAGAAGAATATGTTATTGGGGTGGCTAATGATTGGAGAATTAGTAGAATGGTAGAGCAAATACAACTTGATAAATCTGATGTCTTTCTAGGCGTAAAGGAGGTATGGTTTTCAGGAGAAAAAGAAGAGTTTCACATGGATCCTCATAGATGGCCGTTATTGCGTGCTCATTCTTATGGAAAAGCCAGTCAGGATGAACTTCTATTAATAAATAAGAGGGAGTGGTTATTCTGGAAAGATTTAGAGGCAATTAAACTTGATGAGTATCAAGATGAGCCATATAATCTTGAGCTAGAAGGCCAGTCCAATACATTACGTTTTCAGTTCATGGCATATCTGTGTCAAAAATTATATGGTCTAGGAATTCATGAAGATGGAACTGTATAGTGATATAGTGATGGACTAGTCAATGTTAGCTATAAAATGGCATCAGAAGCTTGTCGTCTTCTTTATCATTCTACAGAGTATACACTTTTTACTAGACTCTACACATTTGAAGGTATAGTCGAAGAAATGGGAGATAAAGAATGGCATTTCGGTAAGAAAAAGAAAGCCAGAAGTCTTACTGGAGAAGAAATTACGTCAGGACAACTAAAGGGAATTGACGAATTTTTAGTATAAAAACGAGAGTATGTTAACTATATTTGCTATGAACTTCGACTAGTTCCGAGACCATAAGAACTACCAGGACCATTTTATGATGATGACTTGAATTGTATCATAGCAGAATTAACACGATTAATAGAGCATGAAGGAACAAAGCGGACTATAGGACTAATGTCAGCTTGTGAAAGTGCCCTTGCAAAATTTAATGAAAAGGTATGAGCATCCAGCTGTACTTTAGATGATTTGCATATTCTTGAAAAGCTGGAAAAATCTGGAGGTATAGGGATGAAAATCGTCGTCAAGGATATTTTGGGTAATAAAATGTGGAATAGTGGTAGGAATCTTAAACAACGTAAGCTAACAGTATTTTGTCATAATAATCATATATGGATAGGAGGTATACCTGAAATGCCTCGAGTATCTTCAGTCTATGATATGGACTATGAATGTGAAAGAGCACTTGTTTCCGTATGCACGAAAACTAAGAAGGGAGGTTAATATCAATGAAAAAAGATTGCTGAAGCTCTTATATCATTTGTCGCAAGAAATCTTCCAAGAGTTACAAGAATATGGATTGTAGGTAAGGAGATTCTAACTCATGAAGATATTCTTTATCATAGTTCTTATGAATGGAAAAAGCTGAATAATGCATTCATATGTGAAAAATCGCAATCCATACCTGAAGAATTTTTGTGGGAAGAGACTGTAGATATTCGTCAATAGATTGAAGATGAGTATCAATCTAATACATTGGCTTCTTCAGAAGAGCTTAAAGCTGAATTTGATAAAGTCTTAAAATTATTAGGAGGTGTCCAGTCTTATCGATTACATTACTGGCGAGAAAAAGAAGGTATTGCGCCTACGTTTAGAAATGTTGTAGAGATCTAGCGTAAATCACAGGTGGAATCAATGGTATAAAATACACCAATAGATCCTTCCCCCAAGCATATTCATATAGATCTTTATGGAGCATATCTTGGCTGTAAATTTTAGAACGAAGTGCATCAGAAGCATTGCCTTGGGTCAGACCATATGGATTTCCAGAAAGAATACAACGACGTGCTCAAGTTGACAATATTGATACTATTCGCAACTTGATAGGTATTTTTCAGCTTATAGCATGGGAATTCGCTCAGGACTTGCATCCATTTACAGCAGGGCTTATTGGGCAACATCTTACAGAAAAAAAAGGTTGGATATCAACGCCCTTAGTCAATTATTTGCTAAGCAGAGGATGGCTTTTAAGCGCAACTCCAAGAGAAGTTATATATAGCGTAGGTAAAAAATCCTGCATTGAGTTTCTACCAGATCGTGATTTAGCTGTTCGCTTCATAGGCTCTTGTGCTTATAATGTGTAAGTAATATCTATTTTAGTTCGAGATATAAATGAAGCAAATATGTTAGTTAACTGGCTAGCAAAAAATAAACGCCGACCAAACTGGATCTGAAAAAAGCAAGGAACTTTAATCAAGTATGAAGGTGATGAAAAGCGTGGGTAGTGGTTACATATCCGTTCTTTCGTCCTTGCCTATACCCATATTGCTATACTCGAACAGTTAAAACATTTTTCAGTTGAAAATGTATTGTGAGTATGCACAGATGCCATTTATACTACAATAATTCCTGAAACTATTTTAGATGAAACTGTTGTTGAGATAAGGTAAGAATTGCTTTCCGATTTTAATAATAGCCTCTTTGTTAAAATGAAAAAATTGCAGAGTTAGAAGAAATGCATGCGAAATATGAGGCTGAACTAGATAAAAAAAGAAAGCAGTATAAATCAGCTATTGTTCTAGAAATACCAGAAATTAAGTATGGTCAATGACACAAGAAAAAAAAGGAATATACTTATCGTAAAGAAACATCATCCTAGGCTATCAATTATGAAGGTACACTAGAAATCCCTCCAAGTGACACACCCTCTCTTTCTATTGATTCAAAACTAATAACATTACAAAAAGTTTATCTAGTTGAGTAAGGCGGTAGTGGTAAAACAATATTAATCATTCGTGCATTCCTTGGTCAAAAGGTTGTAGTTCTCACACCAGCGAATTTGCTTGCTAAATACTATAGAAAGCAAAATCCAGGCTTAACGACTATATCATATCATAAGTATTTTCATCTAGGGGCAACACCTATTAATGAGTGAGATTCTGCTTGTCTTGGAAAAAAAGTCCTAACTGAAATACTTATCTTCAATGAGGCATGTATGATTTCTAAGAAGGATTTGCAGAGATTATTATCTCATGCTAAAAGTCATAGATGCCAGAATATTATGTGCAGAGATCCAGGCCAGCTTATACCATGGGTGATAAAGAAGGTCCACATAAATTTCTAACTGAGTGAGCCGATGAAGTAATCTAGTACATAAATGATTATCATGCTTATGATCCAGAACTTAAGGCACTAAAATTGCGCATGTGAATGAAAGATGATATGACCCAATTGTAAGAATTCCATGAGGCTATACCTACAACATCATAGAAGAATGCATTTATTGAGTAGACTCCAGAAGATATTTGGATTTGCTTCACAAATGATATAGGTATGCAAGTTGAAAGTGCATTAATACAGGCTCATAAGTCATGCTTTCCCAATGTACCCTCAATTATCCTTTTCAACCTAGACGAAAGTATCAAGCATATTTATCGCATTCAAGAAAAACCTGTGCAGATTTCAGGTAGCAATGAAATTATTGAAGCATATGTTAGTACAATGGTAAAATATATCACTTGAAATAGTACTGCGCAGACTTCCTGCAGAGTGAAAATATGCCAGCTGGGAAACAATTCATCGAATTCAAGAACAGACCATTGAGCCTCCGAAATGCTATTTCATTATAAACTATAACCTGGAAGGTTGGATTAATAATGCTATATATACAGCCTGCAGTCAAGTATAATACATAGCCCAAGTGATTCAAGTTAAACCACCAGATAGTGTCCTTGAATATATTGAACCTACTGAACTTCAAGCAACTTCTTGTTCCCAAATTATTGAGGCAAAATTAAGACGACATAGGCTAGATAATCAGAAAAAGAAGCGATATTTCCCAAGACCACTTATGATAGCTGAGGATTGGGAAGTAGATGATAAGACTGATTTAATTGAGAACACTACGGTATGTGAGAACCCACTCTATCTAGCAAAGAATAATGAGGAGAAAGCTATTCCATCAATCACGTCAGAAGAGATGATTTCTATAGCATATCAGCAAAAGAAAGTTTGTAAGATATGTTGTGTTCTACTCTTATTCTAAGGCTATCCCAAGCGTTATCCATAATCATTTTTGATTGATCAGATAGACGATTCTGAGTGTCATAATTTTCAGAATGTAAGACTTACCTGTCTCCAGTGTAATGAGAGACATAGACGTTAAAGAAAGCTCTTCGCGAAGTACTAATAGATTAGTAAACTAGCCCATTCGCATAAGCCAGTCTACTTACATAATTATTAATTTTTTTTGGCATGATAAATATTCAGTTATAGAATAAATCACTAAAATGACAACTGGTATAATGAGTTTAGAGGATATTATAGATGATATAAAAAAGAATATTAAAACGGTATTCCAAAATGGAATTAGAGCTGAAGATTGGCAAGAAGTTTATATAATTGGACTTCAATTAACATTAGACAGATTAGTATGAGAGTTAGAATTTGCGCAAAATAATTATCAAGACATATCTGTTAATCAGATTAATTGAATTGGATAGACCCTTCTGAAGGTGAACATAATTCATATAAGGAATATGGCTAAAAAATCGAGAAATAATAGGCGTAAAACTGCAGGTAAGTTTACTACCAACTCATACAATATTTGCTCCTATGCAATCCAGCCAAATATGAACATACATATGATAGGGCAACTGGCTTTATCATTGTCACGAATAAAAAACAGAATAGGATTATTAGCGTGTTTGATTATCCCGAGCTGAATGAATATCTAGGAGTCTGATCCAACAGTCCCTTTAGGACCAGGCCCAGAAAATTTATTTATTTTTTTCGCTGATTAAAGATAAGATATAAAACACAAATCTATTATGGAAATAGATAGCCTCTTTGAGACAAGAGATACACTTGATTGGTTGGATCAAACACCCCCTCCAATTTCACCAGCGTTAGAACCTAAAAAAGATAAAGATAGTCCAGCACAAGTTCAAGATAACCAATTACTAAATGAATTTTTTGAGGCATATAAGGAATATAAGGCATATACTTCATTATTAGGTTCAGACTTACGTAAAGCAGAGATGAAAAAAGGTTTCTTCAGAGGCCTTAATCAGGAGACAAAGATCTAGTTTGCCCATAAGGAACTTTCGTATCCTTTTGAAAGGTTATGTGAAATTTTAGTTAAATTAGATGTTCCTTTTTATCTGAAATTGCAAAGACTTACCGGTAGGATTCTGCAAAACTCAGATTGAATTCGAATCTAGCTGATGGAAAGACAATGCAGGTGTTCTCTCACCCATTCTCTTGGTTCAGATCATGAATGATTGGATAAAATGTGGATCACTGACTAGCTAATTGATCTATTTCTCTAATAATAATTTTTCTGAAGATGCTTTTGCTATTCTGCTTTTCTTAATCTGAAATTAACAAGACCCTCTATAGTAGGATGGTATACTACCGATCTGGAGCAGTGATCATCAGTTCAGAATATTTATTTGCTGAGTCACAGATTGTGCGACAAAATAGGGATCACATAATGATATTAATTTCGCATATAGATTCGCTAACCAGTATATCTATTTATTTTTCGAACAATCATGAGAAAAATGTGAAAGAGCGTCTACCTGTAAAATAGGACCAGCTCTAAAAATAAATATTGATAGCAAAAACATATTTTATGAAGGGTTGAGAATCTCGCAATTTCAATATCGCTATGCGTAAAACCAACTATGTCTTTCCAGTAGATCTGATCCCTCTAGGACCCTTTACATGTGAAAAGGTATGAGGCTTCCATTTACATATGCTTTCATAGAGCTCTTGGTATCATACGATAAAGTTAATTATGCCTCATATCTCCTTAACTTTTTCCCAGCAAGATATAAAGTATGTAGGAGTATGTGAAAGTTCAGTCAACCTTCTTGCAAAAATTTTTCCAGAAAAAATAACACAAAATAAAGTATGTGTATGCCCTAAATTATGTATGTATAGGAGTGAGTTTTTCTCACAATGATGGCCTTACATTTTAGAAAATAAAATATGGCTAATATCACTCTCAGATATCTTATTATTCCCACTGGTGGCTTCATTGAAATTCCACATAATAATGTTAATCTAACGATTACAATTTCCCTTGAAAATTCAGTCAGAAACCTCTACGCTCAGATTCAGTAAGAACTACCACCCAGATTCAGAAATGTTCTATTTTATCTTTACGCATATCGTCCTGAGCCTGTAAAATATGTTGCTATACAAGAAGGAGGGAGCTTGATTTCAGAATTTTTCGATGAGAATATCACCATGGATGTTCACCATATTCTTGTAGAGGAGGATCTATATGGTTATTATAACTAGTAATGCAATATATTCACAATTTTTATGTATTGTAGACTGGCTACTGGCAATGTTTATTTATTTCATAAATAAAGTATTATTTTATCGAACGTATATGAGAAAGTGGTTACGTGTAATAATATAATGCCTATACTCCATAAAAATCTATATTAATGCCCAGTATTCTCTTTCCCGAACATAAATAAATTTTATCTCACTCTGAAAAGTAACACTATTTTTTTGTCCGAGCCAAATATCCCTATAAAATGTAACGCTATGTCTGAAACTAGTATACCTTATACTCCAGCTTTCACCTCCACTACTGTTACTGAAAATGAGACGGTCTTACTAGCGGATGAAATTAAAAAATGTAAAACAAATGAGCTTATCGATTTCTTGTGTAAGAAGGAGGAGTTGGAACTTGTTCTAGAGGATTATGATATAATCGAGAAGGAGAAAATTAATGGCCTTGACTTCTTTGACTTGACTAAAGAAGAACTTATGGGTTATGGTATGAAGGGAGAACCAACTAAGAGACTCGTGAAGTTCGCTAAGGAGTGTAAAGATAAAAAGTTGAGGTCGTTCTCCTTGTACAAGACTAAGAAAGAGTTGAGTGAGGTATTGTACAAGTATGGGATCGATAGCAATGAAATAACAAAAAATTCCACCTTTTGAGCCAGATCCTGTAAAAATTGACAATGAAGACGAGGAGCTGGAGCAGTGTATAACAGAAATAAAATGTAGGATGGGAATTATAGGTTCAGTAATGGGCAGGAATGAGGCTGTGTATTGTAAGTATATTTTCCCAATATTATATGCATCTATCTATATCGCCAAAAGAATTACTAAGGAAGGAATTATTATAGACCTCCAGTTTGAAGTTGTAGGTAAAGAAGCATAAGGCTGAGTCAATTACGCAATCAAAAAGTCATAGATGTCATCAATGAGGAGTTGATAACCATAACAGAGGGAAAACAAAAGGATTTGGTAGCGGGATTCATGCAAAATATAATGCAACTCGAAAGCTCTCACCATACAAACATGAGAAAAAGGAAAGCATCCGTGACATTTGATGATGAGTTTGACTATCTCTATGGAATTGTGATTACAGGTAGAGCTTGGCCAGCACTATGACATGTAATTTTTTTTATCAATCGTTCATATATACTAACTCGTGTCTTTCTTTGTTTAGCCTCAGACTGATACTTCCTCATATATACACTGGAAAGGATCTATTGCTCAAAAGACGACTATCACATAGTACTCAATGAGAAAATAATGAAAGATGATGCAGAACTTCGCTGTGATGTTAAAAAGGTTATGGAGATAATCATTGGCTTGTTGAAGGATAGGGTCGAAGTTGATGATTCTTCAGATAGTAAGAGAGCAAGGACGAAAAAATTTATTAAGAAATGATTTTACATGAAGGTCATAGGATAGAATTTAGTCATATATCATAGGCAAAGTCCTGAACATTTGTATTTATTTTTCGCATGTAATAATAAAAAAATTTTCTTGGCATTTTCGCTGATGGGCTATGAAGAAAAATCACATGATATTTTTTATTTTAAATGCTTATATACAATGTATTAGTTATACATATAGATCATGTTAACTGAGCTTGAAGTATTGAAACAGTGTATCACTGAACTTAAAGCTAAGAACATCAAGCTTGAGGCTGAGAATGCAGAGCTTAGGAAGGAGAATACTGAAATCTTCTATCTTAGAAACAAGCTTTAAGTGTCTGATGCTAAAATAGCTGAACTTAAGCGCAGGAATATTGAGTTTCTAAGAGCGAATAAGGAATATAATGAGAGGCGTAATGCTGATAATATCAAACTCAAGGCTGAGAATATTGAGTTTAGAGATAGACTCATAAAAGTGAAACAGAAGCATACTCTGCAAAGCGCCTTAACGGCAAATGATAATTTTTCTAACAACAGTTCACCTAGCTTAAATTTAGTTGCAGTACCAGAGGCGATAATGGTATCTAACTCTGCAAAGTACCTTAACGGCAAATTGTTGAAAGAGAAAGAGATGGATAATTTCTTGCTTGAGGCTGATAAGAAAATTGTTAGTAGTGAAATAAAGCAACGTAATAAGGAGAAGAAACTTAAAAAAGCAGAGCAGGCATCTCTCAACCAAGATCAAGAATCTGGTACTTGCGATCACGAAAAGATCATACTAGAAGTGTCAAATCCTGTGACTAAAATTTCAGTCAGGGCGTTCCTGCCGAAAAATAGTCATAGGAAAAAAGATGTAGAAAATATTTCTCAAATAATATCTGATGGTATTCAAAATAATTCACAGTCTCAAAAATGTTTTCTTGGTTCTTCTAATGATATATTATTATAACAAAGCCAAATTTCTTCTACAGTACCACTGCTTACTTTAGCTCAATTATTTGATAAAGCAACTGATGCTAAATATAGTGCAATTTATGCAAATCAGAGAGAAATTTTGTGCTGGTACTACTATGAAAAGAAATTTATAACTCAAGTTAACGAAACTATGAAAAATAGTAAAATCAGTGAGAAAAAAGTGAAAGAAATTATTTATGATAAAATGTTAGAGGATTTTTCCATTTTCTGTAAAAAGAGATCTGAAGAAACAGGTTTACAACTCCCAGAAATCACATATAAATATTTGCGAGGGAAAACTCAGAAAGCCGTAAAGATATATAATTTATTTGGAAAGGTAGGTGTGAATAAAATTAAGTATATTACAACATATACTGCAAATGCTATTTCAGAGTTGACTAATGATAAACTTCAAGAGATCATAAAGGCCTTAGATAGGCAGGATAATTTCTCTGAGCAGAATCCAAAGGAATTGCATCACATCAGGGACGATGATCTCTGGCAGCGAAAATTTTCAAAATCTGCCAGCGCTTATTTTAAAATCTGCTCTGCTTTCTGCGGCTTATGATTATCATTTCTGC